CCGCTTCGGACCGAACGAACGACGTCGAGCGTATCGTCGGCCCGTCGGGGTGACAGCCGGAAATAAAGGGCCGGCCATGCATTAGCGTCGACGGTCAAAGGGTCGCTCGAATATCGACCGAGACGGTCGACAGCGTTAAATTGCCATTTGTCGGCCGGGGAATGCCTCTGATTAGCACGGCCAGGCTATCACCCAATATGTCGCTCCACGGTTACTAGCCTCCGCGTTGAAAATTCGCCGGATCCGCGTAATAAAAAACGAGAGTACAGCAGGATGGAGCAGAAAGCGAGGGAAGAGGAGAAACGATTGTTAAAATTCGTAGTTGTTTAAGGTTCCTTAGGATCGGTCTGTTTTTCTTTTTTCTTTTTTTTTTTTTTTTGTTTTGCGCTTGTTTGGTCGGATCGTAATGGCAGTAGTCTCGATTGGAATCTACGTGGTACGCGTCCAAAATGGAGACAGTAATTCTATCAAATCGAGTCGTACGTTCTTCGTATTTGTACTCGCGTACGTCACCGCGGATCATGTACGCAAAATGATTAGTAGAATTTCGATATATCGGCATTTGCGTCGTTCTTTACAGATCGCCTTAAATTATGAATCGTATGGACAGTTTACGTAACTGCGCGTTATATTCGAGTAATGGTCGATTCCGCCAAACCAGTCTCGCGCTTCATCTCGTCGCAAGTTTCGACTTCTGTCTCCGATAGAACGCGCTTATTCGACGGATACGACGAGAAATAGTTTGCCTGCTATCTCGATAGCTAAATTCGTATTTCTACACTCGCCATCTGCTCGGTAAACGAAAAGATCCGTCTCGCATCGAGCCTGAATGGAAACTCTTAGCTCTCGATTCGAATAGGACCCGTTCGACCGACTTCTGTCCGGCACAAAGACGACAGAAATATCGAGGCTAGATTGGCAATTTCGATCAAAGCTAACTGTTCGCCGCGTTTCCTAGGGCGTGTGGCGAGCAGAGGAGAGACAGATATAACGGGGCCGAGAGGAACGTAGCGGAATAAATTTCACGGTCGACACCCGGTACAGTTTGATTTTCCTTATCGGGGATCAGCCGGCGGCACGAGACGCGTCTCTCGATCGTCCGAAAATTACTTTCGTCATCTTGATCGCGTTTCCGATCGAGTTGGCCGGACGGTACGGAAAACTCGATACGAATTACCGCCCGAGGCCGTAATATCGGCCATTCGAGCCGTCCACAACCCCCTTTGCCAACGGAATATCTCCTCGATTCCTTTCCCCTGACGCTCTCCTCTCCACGTCTATCTTCATCTATTCGTCTTCCGCTTCCTCTATCATCCAACCTTTTCCTTTATTCCTAGCCTGTATAAAGAGACCGGGTATTATTATTAAGAGTCGAGAGGAACAGCCGAAGTGGAAAACGACAGGCTACAGGCGTAGGCGTCTGAAAATTCCAGTGGACTGCGTGGCACAGGCTAATCGATGTCTGCTCTTCACGATCCTCTCCAACGTCCGAGACGAACGATCAAGAATGTCTCTCGCGTACTCCATTGAATTACCGTCCTCGTGCACGCGACACGTCCACTCTGCAGTGCCTCTCCTACGGAATAAAAGAGAGAAAGAGACACCACACGGAGAACTAATTCCTCTTGCCGTGGTCTCCGATCCGTCGCCACGTTTATTTCAATCGGGGCCGGTTTTTTGCTCCGCATGAAAGTATCCTTTCGACGTTGCGACCAACTTACGTTCGTACGTACGCGTTTAATACTCGCGTGTTAACGCGAAGACAAACGTTAGTCGGTAGACGAGTCGGTTCTCGCGTCTGATTACCAGCTTGTCCTGCGGTCGAGGATCAGCAGCTGCAAGATCTATGGATGGATCGTTATACGAATGGAAACGACGCTACGTATGATAAATACGCGAACCAAGGGACAGGGAGAAATAAAGCTGTCTGTACTTTTGTACGCAGTCGCCGCATCAGTCTTGCCTACGAACGAACGTATATTACTCTTGCCTGGCATCCGCTCACCCCCAGTATGCGCACGCTCCTATATTGGAAACGGCTGCTTCCATCGCCTCTTCCGTTCCTCGTTCACCCCTTTATCCATCCATCTAACGTGCGATCGTTTTTCCTTCGATCGAACGACCTACCACTTTCTCCGTCTCCCTCTCGCGTTTTCTCTTCCCCACTTTTACCTCGTCTTTATCGTTCGTTTCGAATCCAGGGAAATCAGAACCGAGGAACACGAGTCGCACCGATCGTAAAGAAAGTTACGTTAACCGAATATCGTTTGTAGTCAGTCGAGTAGAAGATCGTAGTTTACTGCAGTCGGTACGTATATACTTATCTATATCGCGAGCACGTTCGATCGTCGTGGAACCCAGTCTTCTCGAGTTCGGGTATCCGCTAGATGGGAAATGTGGAAATCAAAAGCCATTGGAAAATTCCCGATTGAAATTCGCGTCATGCACACGTTCGAGTAGTAAGATTCGGAAAAAGAACGGTGACGAAAGTCGAGGAAAATGCGGTTGATTCGCAACGGAGAGATATATTTTG